TAAAATTAATTTGTGTCCAAAATACATGATTGGGTAAAACCAATTGAATATATCGCATTTGGATTGGAACCAGAAGTTCCCACACACAAAAAGGAATTTGAACCAGTAAGTCTATGTACTATTGCATTGGTCTTTGTATGCTTTAGCGAGCATTTAAGGCAAGGTTGAGTTGTCATTACGGTGATTTATGATAATCCTGTTTGCCTTACTAGATTTTTGCCCTCTTTTGTGTTTGTTTGGTTTTTCTGTTTATATTTGTCCTATTTTTCTACGTGAGGTTATAAAACTAGATAATATCATGTGAAAGTCAAGCTTCGGTGGAAACCGATGGAAACCACGTGCAAAAGTATGTTTTGAAGTTTTGAGCAAATCTAATAGAAAATACGACATGTTAACAACGTGATGTTCTATTAGCATGTGAACTTCCAAGTTGAAACACAAATTTGATAATGAGGTGCAAAAAAAATCAGCATTGAATAGTGCCGAACAAGAAACGTCTCTTAACATAAATCGTTTTTATTGTAGCGTGTAAACTGTTTTGTGTTTGAACTTGGAATTTCACATGTCAGTATAACACCACTCTCTTAACATAATGCATTTTTTTAGAATTTTTGAAACTTTCAAACATGGTTTCCGCAAAGTTTTCATTGAAACTTGGTTTTCACACGATATTTTGTCATAAAACAAAGCACAAGACATCACAATTTGGCAACTGAGTCTAAACATCATGGAAGAGAATATTGACAATTTATTGATAAATGCCCATGTGAATAAAAGTATAAATTGAAGTTTGGATATAGCATGCTTCTCTTGAATACGATGTTGAAATTCCTAGTATCAATATGAATACCAAAGATGCAATATGAAAAATTCTCTGACACGAGAAAAACCTTCGTGGAAGAACTCAATATCTAGAATTTGAGGCTCGTATACATCACTAAACGTGTGAATGAAGAAGAAAACATATAGGTGTATTCTTATGTTGTGTTTTTTATTTGCTATTTTATTAGGGAGGCATGATGCAAACTAGTGGCGAAGACACGAAGAAGTTTTTCAAACAGTCATCTGTGATTTGTGTACTCTCGCATCGCTACCCTAGAAGCAAAGTCGATATGGCCAAGCAAAAGGCAAGCTAAGATACCATATTTTCTCTTATATTTGTAATGTTTTTTGGTTTGTGTGATTTATTATTAACTACCTGATGGTTTCTTCGGACATTGGTCAAAATTTAGGTAAATGTGCAAATTAAATCCTTTAAGTTCACAAGTCCCGTATAATCTTATCGTACCAAATGCCTCAAAAAAATTCATAAAATTTTCATCATCCTCAGTTTAGCTTTGTGTCATTTCCACTACCTTTATTTTTAGTACATTAATTGTTCATGGAGCCTTGACGTATATATTTATTCGAGCTATATGTTTGAAAATATCATTTAAAAAAGATAAACTAATTTGTATACATTGCAGTTGCATAATTAGAAAAAAAAAACCAAACACATGGTTTGCATATTACCCCAAAAATGAACAAATAGCAGGGATTAGTTGGTCATAAGCTGCTATAAACATGTCAATGGAGTAATCTAAGTCCACATAATTCTATACATGTGCATTGACAAGTGATGTGATGAATGCTAGAGGATGTTTGCAAGAAAGGCCGACAATTTGCCATTGTATGCAAGAACATGTAGTGCTATGCAAGTTGACGACAAACCTAAATCTGATGCCTCCCAATTGAGTAACTTCAGCAACTTCTTCCGAGCATTCTACCACCTCCAACTTTAACTCTACTATTTGCATTCAACTTATTAATTATGTGGGGCAAAATTAAACCAACTAACTTTTTTTACTACTTTTCTCCTTCGATTCCACATGATCATAATCATCTACCTAAGCTTGCCCATTAAGTCGTCCAAGTTCAAAGTCTTGTGGTGCTTAATCCATTTATTGAATCACTCTCTCAGGTTGTTGGTTACATAGTCCACCTTACAAATGGTTGAGAACTGACTCCTAGTCCACAGTTGTACCTCGTCGTCCGGCGCATCTACAGTCCCTCCATGGCTACCATCTCCAGCCCCTCCATGGCCGACCTCCGCGGCACTGTCTTACCCAGCAATGACGCCGCCCTTAATCTCTCCTGTGTCTCGCGAGTCCCCGCTGCCATCGTTGTGCCGCCATCGCTCGCTAGGTGTGGGAAGACATGGGGGAAAACCGAAAGAAAATCAGAGACGGTTTGTGTGATAGGCAGGGGCAATTTTCTCTGCCTTAAAAAACTGACAAGCAAACTAAACGATATATGCTAACAGAAGTGATGGAAGTGTTATAGAAGGCACAAATTTTAGAGTTAATGTTATATAAGGAGGGGGAAATCAGCGGAAATTCGCAGGGGCACGTAAGTGCGGGGGCACTAACCTGTCAAGCCTTGTCGCGCACTCGACCTGCCTTGCGATTCGCGAAGTAGTTGAATCTCGCATGAGGGCACATTAAAAAAGAAAATCCCTCAAAAAGATTTAGGTTTGAACGATGGAAATTATGATTTTTTCATCTAAAAATGCAAAGTTTCAACAAGTTTCTGAGATATATTTTTAAGCAATTTTTTCTGTCAATCGTAGACACATTTTTTTTACACTTGTACTAAGTTTCAACAATCGAAACTTAATTTTTTTAAAGTAATCAAAATCTATTCGAAATTATCTTATTTCAAAGCACTGGTCACGAGGAACATTTAAAAGATATAGAACTTTGAAAATTGGAAGCCAAAATAAAAGGCTGGCACTTGAGTGCCCTCGCACTTGCGTGCCACAAATCCTCATCCTAGGAATCAGTGTTAAATAAAAAAACAACATTTAAAAGAGTGTTATATAACTTTTCTCAATTTGGAACTAGATGCATGAGCTGATCAGTGCGATGCCTGTCCAGCGTGCAGGTGGTGGGCACGCCGTACGCGCACAACCAGAAGAGCATCCTCGTCGACACGCCGGCGTCCGAGGCCACCCGCCGGATCACGGCTTTTCTGGGCGGCCTCGACCTCGCCGCTGGCCGATACGACACCCCGGCCCACCGGCTCTTCGGGGACCTCGACACCGTCTTCCGGGGGGACATCCACAACCCCACGCTCGGCGACGCCGCCGGGGAGAACGGGCCCCGTCTGCCGTGGCACGACATGCACTGCCGCCTCGACGGCGCCGCCGCGTACGACGTCCTCAAGAACTTCGAGCAGCGGTGGCGGAGGGCGACGGCCAAGCACTTGAAGGCGTCCAAGCACGGGAAGGACGATGCCCTGCTGAAGCTCCAGCGCATCCCCTGGATCCTCAGCCCGGTCGTCGCCGACGGCGAAGATGACGCCCTGCGCGTCCTGCCGGAGGATGACCCCCGGTGCTGGCACGCGCAGGTGTTCCGGTCGGTGGACGCCGGGTCGGTGAAGGGGTTCCCGCGCTCCTGGGAGACGGAGGAGATGGAGGCGCGGCACCTGCTCTGCGACAAGAGCCTGGCCGTGGAGCAGAGCATCCACGCGGCGTACGTGGCGGCGATCCGCGCCGCCGACCGGTTCGTGTACCTCGAGACCGAGCGCTTCCTGGGGTCGTCGTACGCGTGGCCGGCGCCGTTCCGGCACCCGGGCGCCGGCAACCTGGTGCCGATGGAGATCGCGCTGAAGGCGGCGAGCAAGATCAGGGCCGGGGAGGACTTCGCGGCGTACGTGGTGTTGCCGATGTGGCCGGCGGCGGAGGGGCCGCCTGGGTCGGCGCCGGCGCAGGAGGCCCTCTTCTGGCAGGGGAAGACGATGCAGGCGATGTACGAGGTCGTCGCGTCGGCGATCGTGGAGGCCGGGGCCAGCGGCAGAGCGCACCCGCAGGACTACCTCAACTTCTACTGCCTCGGCAACCGCGAACAGGCACCGGCGGATCTGTACGGACGGGCGGCGGAGACGGGGACGAGCCCGGCGGCGCTGGCGCGGAGGCACGGACGGTTCATGGTGTACGTGCACTCCAAGGGGATGGTCGTGGACGACGAGTACGTGCTCCTCGGCTCCGCGAACGTCAACCAGCGCTCCCTCTCCGGCTCCCGCGACACCGAGATCGCCGTCGGCGCGCACCAGCCGCATCACACCGGACGGCGGCCGCGCGGGCAGGTGCACCGGTACAGGATGTCGCTGTGGGAGGAGCACCTGGGCGGGCTGGCTGAGGTGCTGAAGGCGCCGGAGTCGCCGGAGTGCGTGAGGCTGGTGAATCAGGTGGCCCGGGAGAACTGGGACAGGTACACGGACGAGGGGGAGGTGGTGGAGACGATGCAGGGGCACCTGATGAAGTATCCGGTGGAGGTGGACCACGACGGCAGCGTGTGGCCGCTGACGGGGCACGAGTTCTTCCCCGACGTCGGCGGCAGGGTCCTAGGCTCCACCAACAAGTTTCCCGATCATCTCACCATGTAGCCTTCCTACTGAGTACTGACCCTTTGAGCTCTAACATTATGTTTACACAAATTAAGGGAAATGGGATTTGTAGCAACCTACTGCACACTTACAACGCGTTTGAGTTCACAAAAGCTATATGTAAGTTGACTAAATTTATAATTTGGATAAGTCGATTTTGTGAGAGAAGGAATGGTTGAAGGAGGAAAAAGAAAGAAGGATCACTATTGGCGGATATTGTCTTTGGAGGCCGAGCTCCATGGAACTCGGTTTTGAAAATTTTGAATTTTGTCGAATTTCATATTTTCTACATTTCAAAAAAACCTGAAAAAAAACATATACATGAAGGCATAACACACATGTGTGTAAATTTTCAGGGCAAAATAAGTTGAAATGAGGGCTGTGCAAAAAAAGACAAATCTGGGGCTTTTTAACACATGATACTATTCATCCTTTCAGGCCATGAATTTATTTTTTTTGTACAGGTCACATTTCAACGTTTTTCATTCTGAAATCTTACACACATAGACATAACATACTTGTTTACTTGCACAATTTTTTTTAAATTTTTTTGAAACCGAAAAGTTTGAATTTTGATTTGTTTTCAAGAAAAGGCCTCCATGGCTCCCGGGAGCCAAACGTCCGCTCTCGACTATTGGATCTTAATCTAATGGCCTCAAAAATCGAGTTACCCAAAATAAATTTTCAGACGAATACATATAGTCCTAGTTGGGAAAGTGGGCATGGGTGCTTAGGATACGGAGTGGTATTACAATTTGACTTTGGATGTAGGAAATTAAGGGTGAAGCTTGCTCCTTGTTTTTTTGTTTTGAGTTGAGCGTACTCCTTGTTTGGTTAGTATTAAGAATTAGTAAAATATTATAGTACTTAAAAACATGATAACTTAAGTTATGATGAGCGTCAAGATGTAATTAAAACAACTATCTTCCAATTTTCATCACCTCCCATGTTACTAAAAACGACGCAAGTGGACTATCAACTCTCACACATAAATCGTAAGACGGATTTGAGGTCATGTGTCTTCTAAATTCCCATTCCCTACTTCTAGTTACCTCTAATCAAACTTGTTATTACGCACTTCCTCCGTCTCATAATATAATAGCGTTTTTAACACTTCGCAGGGAGTAAGAGATAGAATCAGTGGAAAAAAAGAGCATGTAGCCTCTAATTCACATCTAGATGTTTTCTAAGGATGCCACATCTAAACTCTTACAAATACACAGTGACAAGGAACCCAAAAAAAAGTTGGGACAAAAAATAGACCACAAACATAGTAGACATCAAGTTAGATGTGACATAACTATGTCACATCTAGATGTGTTCTATACAGACCCTTTGAGTTTTGACGTATACTGCCAAACAATTGTAACTAAACATGGGAAGTAAGTATTGATATGTGTGCACTCACCTCAATTAGCAAGTGCTAATGGTGTCTGAATTAGCACTCTAAAGGATCTGAATTCTTTGACATAAGTATTGTAACAAATCTGCATCAACAGTTTCTTTTCTGCCGGTATTCACAATAACATTTTAATCAAACCTCTCGAAGGGGAGAAAGGTGAAAAACAATTCTACTGCACACTTAAATTTATTGAAAGGTGGAAATAAACATAATGGAGATGGTAGGTATCGACCATTAGTCCTTATACATATAACATAAAAAATAATCTTTCCTCAAAATTTAGGAAATTTAGTCATTGTTGTACATGCCTAAATAATTAGACTTCCATCAAAATATTTGAGTGGCACATTAACTGGAGCCAAATGTGATCTCAATTTTTTTTTCAAACTGTAATTGGATTTAGACAATTTCAAGTGCAATTTTCCATACTAGCGAAACTAAATACCCTTTTTTAACTTTCAATCATTTCATTAGTGTCTGGACTCTTTCCAAACCAAAATGCGGGACCATGATTGCTACTCGTATGACTAATTTGTGTGGAACCTAATTAGGAAAGATTAGTTGGATATCTTACCTTGGATTTGAAGAGTACTATCTGTGCACCACAACCTCTATCTTTGTATGATCAACAAGATTTTAGATCTCTTTTAAATACTAAATGAAAACATGAAGATTGTAACACAAATACATGTGCAAATAAAAAATATATGAAATAAAATATGGATATAACGTGAGAAATACATATGAATAGTGCACCTTCCTACATAAAAAATAACAATAAAAATGCCTATGGATTGGTCAAAATCTTAATTCTATATTACAAACCAAACCTTAGCGAGACAACTCAAATCGCAAGATTAAAGCTTGTTGACGCTGATAGTAGTGGCACTAAAGTTAGAGAACAAATCATTGTCTATGTATATGGGGATTTCGAGTTTTTTTATGCAACATGATGCAAGTTGGTAACTTATCTCCACCCAAAAATAA